ACCTTCCCGCTAGGTGGTTATCTTGCCATCTCTGTGCGTAATTTGAACCTTGCGTGTGTCGTGGGATGGGGTGTTGATATGGTTCTGCTCTGAACCTCTCCCTCCTGCGATTCTCGTACATTTTTAGCCCAGTATTTCTCCCATTTGGGTGCCAAATTTTCCCTGGATTGTTACCTCGCCATCTTTGTGGGTAATTTTGATCTTGTGTGTGTCGTGGCATGGGGTGTTGGTATGGTTCTATTCTGAACCTCCCCCTCCTGCGATTCTCCTGAATGTTCGGCTTTGTGCCGCTCTCATTCTCGTGCCAACCTCTCTCTGGGTTATTTTGCCATGGGTGCGTGCGTTTCTGCTCTGTCCTGCATTGTGGGACTGCTCGGTGATTTTTATTCCTCTCTGAGAGGCTGGGTTCCTCATCCCTCTCCCTGTGTTCTGGATCCGAATTATGATTCTTAGCTCTGTACAACCATGCCATGTACGCCTTGCTCTCTATGCGGCGTAAGGATGCGGTTTCTGGATTCAAAACCATCCTCACCCTTTCTGTAATCTCTGGGCTCAAGGATTCAAAAAACATAATTTTGAACATTTTATCTCCTTCGTGGTATTGATTCACATCGCCTGCATAATACGCTCTTTTAAATTGGACGAGGTAGTCACGTGGATCTTGGTCCATGCCCTGGGTCATCGATTTTACAGCATAAAACCCCTCAGTGAGTGTCGAATATTCTCCAAACTTCCGAATCACTGCCAGGCTCAATTGTTTAAAATCATTTCTAACCTTGTGTGGTAGTGACTTTACCCATGGAATAGATTCTTTATGTAAGGTCCGTTTCAACAAACTCGCTTTTTCATCCCGTCTCCTCAGCCCTCTAATCATTGCCTCCTCTTCTACGGTTGCGATATGTGTGTGGATATCCATAGTCTTATTGTGGGGGTCAAAATCGGGAATTCTGACTAGAGCCTTGTCCATCAATTTAAGGGTTTTACTGGTGAATAGGTATTCCGAAAGTTGATTGCCGACAGCGTCATCATCAAACAAGTTATCATCAGGCAATCTGTCACTTTGGTCTGTGCTGTGTCGCTTGTGTTTAAGTGGTGTGCATTTTCTGTGTGCGCGCCCAGTGCCGTGTCGCTCGTGTTGCCATTTCCCTTCAGTTTTTGCCTCTGCCCTTAGTGTACCATGTCCTGGCGATTTTACTTTAACATTTTTCCTCCCTCTATCTGTGAAGTTGTCAGTCTCACATGTTTTTGTTTGCATATGTATCTCTCCATCCCTTCTCTCGAATTGTGAGGGTTTCCCTTTGTCAATGATTTTTTGTTCGATATCCATAATTTTTGTGCGATTAGTCCCTGGACTCTGTCCACGTACCCAAGAGTGTGATTTAATGTTACTTCCATATTTATTCTGTGGATCAACGTCTGTGAGTTTCGCTGGTGTCGCGAGCACTGATTTCTCTCCCGTTTCCTTTCCAAATTTTCCCTCATTCCACAATCCCTGTCCGTATGCCTGTGTGAGAAGGCATGAGTCCTGTCCTGCCTTTCCTGCAGTTTTTACATCGTGTTCGCCTTCGTTACCTTTTATCCAGTCAATTAGTTTCCCCCGAGGTGTGTTCGTGTTATCGATACCGCTCCCTTCCCATATGTCTCTCTGACTGTACTGCTTTGTAACAGATTGGTCGGTACGTTTAAATACGAGCTCCCCGTTTCCCGTAACCCATTCAAAAATTATTCTTAATCCTAGCATCTTAGGTATGGCGGAAGTTACTTTGACATTTCTTTTCAGAGTGCATATAAACAATTATCTCACAGAGTGTAGTCAATTCGACTCGAGCTATCTGTTATTTTCCGATTCAGAGTGCGTACCTCTAACACCATTTATCACAGGATGCAATTGGTTTGATACGATATTATCTTAATTCCACTGTCTCTGTTTTAACCTGCTATTCTGGGTTTTAACCTTAGAGGGCGTTTTTTTGTTTTCCGCCCGTTCACAATTACCATGCAATGTTCGATCCTGATATTCTGGTTAACACGAAGTGATTCATTCCATCATCCATGCAAAACACTGTCTGCGAGAGATCCCGGACGACGCCACCCATTATGTTGTATGTGTTGGGTTATGAAATTTTTATGAAAATAATAAAAATTAATAATTTTCCGAAAATGCGCAAATCGCATTAATTATGTTAATGTGTGTATTAATATGCATAAATTATGATAATGCGTGTGATTATATGCATAAATTATGATAGTCGAAGTAATTTATGCGGAGGCTTGCGATTATGTTAATGTGTGCAGTTATGATAATTTGCGTAGTTTCGTTTATCCAGAGTTATCAATCAGGATAACACGATTATCATAGATTCATTTACCGATTATCCTAGTGTGTGTTATAATATTTTAGGTCTCCATTTTCATATCTCATCACAGGATACAGTTGTCAAGAATAAGACAGTTTTGCATGGACTTGGAAGGAACACTCGATATGCTTCTGTGATAACAATTTTATTCTAACAAGCACGTGACATTCTATCATGCAGGTCAAACATGCGTCAATAATTCATGGGCAAGATTATGCAATTAACTAATATGAACGACAAAAACTTATGCAGTTGCGAAATTATGCAATTATGCAATATGAATAACGAAAACTCTTATGCATTTATGTAACTCGACGGCAGCAACTGCTTTGCACGATCAGTTGATATTGAACGCACCACCTCGAAATGGCAACCCTTTTTGAAACGCAAAGATCACTTTTTGAAAGTCTTATTCGTGTGCGTGCTGTGTGTGCGTTGTCCCCTCGTAATATTAATTGTGTCGTTAGCTTGTGTGGTGTGGGAGGATACGAACAGCTCCTGCTGCTCCCTCGCTCGGCGTGTCGCTCGGCTTTTGCTCTCTCTCTCTCTCTCCACTGCTGGATTGAGCGGCGTTGGCACGATGTTCCTTGAAGAAACTTGCTTGCTTGGCGCTTGATGGTTCCGGGGGCTTGGTGCTGCTCGTGCGCTCTCTCTTTCTACTGCTAGATGACGAGTTGGCACGATGCTGTCCTTGAAGATGCTCGGTCGCTCGTGTCGCTCGGTGTCGCTCGGTGGCGCAAGGTGTCGCTCGTTGTCGCTCGATGGCGCGCGGTGGCGCACGGTGGCGCACGGCGGCGCACGGTGGCGCACGGTGGCGCAAGGTTGTTGCTCGTTGGCGCTTGTTCAGCGATCTCCGCCTTTCCTGCGGGTTGTTCGCTGGTCGTCACTCTGACGAGGAGCGATGCTTCGTTCGTGGCAGGGTGGACGTTGGCGTCTTTGTTGGCTTCACTCGCAGCTCTGCGACTCAGGGTAGCGATTCTTCTCAGGTGGTGCAGACCTCGGCTTGTAGCTACGCGTCGCTACTCCGCAAACCTCGTCATTCTGAATGACAGGAGCTTCTTCGTTGGCGGCGACGAGGAGAGATGGAGCCACAGCCCTGGAGATCTGTGATGGGGGCCAGAGCCCCTGTCGATCTGAGTTGTATGGATTTTCCTTCGGTTTATATCGGAAAATTCCACTCGGCTTCCCGAGTTGTTCAAAAGCTGTGTCATAAAACCTTCCTGTGGGGGTGGACCATCTGCGTCCGTGTGTGTGTCCGTCCGTGTGTTTCGCGTGCGTGTTTGTCCGTGTGTTTATTAGCTTTGAAGACACAGCTGTGTGTGTCGTTCTGGAAGAAAGGGGGTGGGGGTGGGGGCCTCGTGTCGGCTGCTTCAGAAGTTATCCATTAGCCAGACCGATGATTCGCGTTGAGTTAAAAAAAAAACATTCGAATCCATGTTTTGTTACTGAATAATATTTGTCGCGAAAACCTACGCGTTAAGCGAGCTTAACTATTCACTCCCTTGCTCTGGGATCACATCCTTTGTCTCACACAGCTTAAGTTGGTTTGGTTTGGAAGTTGAAATGCGACTTATTTGCTGCTTGGTTATGCCGAAACCGTGTTCACGATGTTTCATCGTGACCCAACCTTTATGGGTGTCATTTCCTGGCTTGGTGCCTGTGTGTGGAGATCCTCTCGGAAAGACAAAGGCGGTCGTGTTGCTCGCTTCCCATGGGTGTTGTGTTTGGTTAATTTTGAGAGCCTTCTCCGCCCTTGATTCCTCTTCTATTTTAATTCCGTACTTATTATTCGACTTCTTGTGATTATTTGATCTGATATCCCGGCTAGGAATTTGTTTTGGAGCGAAATAGATGCCCTAATTATTCTTTGATGCTTCGGCCCGGCCGTGTAGATATTCTTTAAAGGTAAATAATGTCAGTACTTAATTAACAATGATGGGTCGCGATTCTGGTGCAATTTTTGTCTGGTTTTCAATTGGAGTGAGGATGGATACTGTTTGCTTAATCTTTATGGTTAAGTTGGTAACTTGTGTATTTAACATGGTTCAAAGACCCATCTGTGCTTTTTGTCGTCGATGCTGTTTCTTTGTTAAGAATATAATTATCTCTTCCTCCGTGTCTCCTGGTTCTGTGGGGTTTTTTTTTTCAAAAGGGCGTCCTGCTGACCCCCCCCCCCCCGCCTGCAATTCCCCCATCCCTTGTTCCTCTTGTGTGAATTTAGGGGAGTTTATTACCTTATTGCCCCCCTTTCATGTCCTCTTTCCTTTGAAATGAGGTATGCGTGCATCTGTGGAAGTGTGGGGGCCTCTGTGGAAGTGTGGGGGCGTGTTCGTTCCCACGTGGCCGCGTCTCTTAAAAAGAACGATATTATCTATGTTGGCAGAATAATTCTTAAAAAAAATAATATTAAAAAAAATAAAAAGGGGGTACATACACAACAGATGGCAACCCCAGCCACAAGCGATGATGAAATTCTCGCTTGCAACTTTCATCAGCTAGCTGAGACCAGGCCACCTTAGGTTGGAATGGGGTCCTGGGTGTACACCCACCACCGGAGTGGAAGAATGGCAGGCGCATCTTACAGATAACAAGTCGATGGTCAGAGGGCAGATCAGCTCCACGTTAGGTCCTGGTGTCAAGGACATGGGCTCGCATCCACTGGTCCGTCAATATGTAGTCCAGCAGATGTTTTTGCTTTGACCCGGCATGCATCCATGATGTTGTGTTGATGCGCCGATGCCAGAACAGCGTGTTGGTAATTTCAAGCCCATGGGCTGCACACAAATCTATTAGCCTCCTACCGTTGTTATTCAGCTGATTTGGCCCATGCCTTCCAATCACTCCAGACATTGAAGTCAGCCAACACACTCACACAGACACAGAGGCACACAGAGGCACACAGAGGCACTCAGACACACACAGACACAACCACACTCATTCTAGATTTGAAGTTTTCGTGACTGCAAGAATCCATACTCTTTAGTTCTTTCGGTAAAGTCACGTAGGTGAAAATAAAAATATAATAATAATAAATAACACACTCATACCCACACTCATACCCATAGAGACCCACAGAGACATCCACAGAGACTCGTAGAGACCCAGACCCATAGAGACACCCACAAAGACCCACAGAGACCCAGACCCACAGAGATGCACAGAGACCCACAGTTGCCCACACAGAGACACTGATACCCATAAAGCACCACAGATTGGCTACGTATGGTGCGAAATAAGTTGAACATACACACATACAGAGACACCCAGACACATAGAGACACCCACAGACACCCACAGACACCCACAGTGACCCACAGATTAGCACTGTTGGCTACGTGTGACCTCCCCGTGACCCCCACCCTGACCTCCCGTGACCTCCCCGTGACCCCTGCAGGTCCAGAACGAGCACTTTTATTACCGCTTCCAGCTGGACAGGAAGATTGGGCAGGGTGGGCAGAGCGTGGTGGTAAGGTGTCTAGACCACAAGACTCGGACGATGGTGGCTCTCAAGATCCTCGCCCCGCCCTCCACGTGAGTGGGCCCTGGCGCAGCAGTGCAGTCAACAACAACAATAACACCACCAACAACAAGAACAATAAACAAACACACACTATGGGACTGCTGCTGGCTGTGAACCACAACAACAATGACTGAACATCCTTTAATTGACTCTCCACCACCTCCCCACCACCACCTCCACCTCCCCACCACCCTCACCGCCACCACTGGTTGTGTGTTGGAGACTAACCCCACCACAACACTGATAATTGACTTTGACACTTTCCAACACAACAACCGGTTAAGTGCTGAGCAAGTAGCGAGCTGGCCAAGCATTTTTTGTTTAGGTGACAAACCACCTCAACCAATTGGGCGTGTGTCAGGTGGCGGATTTAACGACACAACATTTATATTTACATCATCCAACCCAAACTCACCTCTTGTGGATACTATTGGTCGCGACAGACCCACGACGACTACTCAGTGTTATACACACAGACCCACTACTACTACTCAGTGTTACACACACAGACCCACTACTACTGCTCAGTGTTACACACACAGACCCGCTACTACTGCTCAGTGTTACACACACAGACCCACTGCTACTACTCAGTGTTACACACACAGACCCACTACTACTACTACTCAGTGTTACACACACAGACCCACTACTACTCACTGTTACACACACAGACCCACTACTACTACTCAGTGTTACACACACATACCCACTACTACTACGACTACTCAGTGTTACACACACAGACCTACTACTACTACTCAGTGTTACACACACAGACCCACTACTACTACTCAGTGTTACACACACAGACCCACTACTACTGCTCAGTGTTACACACAGAGACCCCCTACTACTACTCAGTGTTACACACACAGACCCGCTTCTACTACTCAGTGTTACACACACAGACCCACTACTACTACGACTACTCAGTGTTACACACACAGACCCACTACTACTACTCAGTGTTACACACACAGACCCACTACTACTACTCAGTATTACACACACAGACCCACTACTACTACGACTACTCAGTGTTACACACACAGACCTACTACTACTACTCAGTGTTACACACACAGACCCACTACTACTACTCAGTGTTACACACACAGACCCACTACTACTACTCAGTGCTACACACACATACCCACTACTACTACTCAGTGTTACACACACATACCCACTACTACTACTCAGTGTTACACATACAGACCCACTACTACTACTCAGTGTTACACACACAGACCCACTACTACTGCTCAGTGTTACACACACAGACCCACTACTACTACGACTTCTCAGTGTTTCACACACAGACCCACTACTACTACTACTGCTCAGTGTTACACACACAGACCCACGACGACTACTTAGTGTTACACACACATACCCACTACTACTGCTCAGTATTACACACACAGACCCACTACTACTACTCAGTGTTACACACACAGACCCGCTACTACTGCTCAGTGTTACACACACAGACCCACTACTACTACTACTCAGTGTTACACACACAGACCCACTACTACTCACTGTTACACACACAGACCCACTACTACTACTCAGTGTTACACACACATACCCACTACTACTGCTCAGTGCTACACACACAGACCCACTACTACTACTCAGTGTTATACACACAGACCCACTACTACTACTCACTATTACACACACAGACCCACTACTACTACTCAGTGTTACACACACAGACCCACTACTACTACTCAGTGTTACACACACCCACTACTACTACTCAGTGTTACACATACAGACCCTCTACTACTACTCAGTGTTACACACACAGACCCACTACTACTGCTCAGTGTTACACACACAGACCCACTACTACTACTCAGTGTTACACACACAGACCCACTACTACTACGACTTCTCAGTGTTACACACACAGACCCACTACTACTACTCAGTGTTACACACACAGACCCACTACTACTACTCAGTGTTACACACACAGACCCACTACTACTACTCAGTGTTACGCACACAGACCCACTACTACTACTCAGTGTTACGCACACAGACCCACTACTACTACTCAGTGTTACACACACAGACCCACTACTACTACTGAGTGTTACACACACAGACCCACTACGACTCAGTGTTACACACAGACCCACTACTACTATTCAGTGTTACACACACAGACCCACTACTACTACTACTCAGTGTTACACACACAGACCCACTACTACTCACTGTTACACACACATTTCCACTACTACTACTCAGTGTTACACCCACAGACCCACTACTACGACTACTCAGTGTTACACACACAGACCCACTACTACTACTCAGTGTTACACACACAGACCCACTACTACTACTCAGTGTTACACACACAGACCCACTACTACTACTCAGTGTTACACACACAGACCCACTACGACTCAGTGTTACACACAGACCCACTACTACTACTCAGTGTTACACACACAGACCCACTACTACTACTACTACTCAGTGTTACACACACAGACCCACTACTACTCACTGTTACACACACATTTCCACTACTACTACTCAGTGTTACACACACAGACCCACTACTACGACTACTCAGTGTTACACACACAGACCCACTACTACTACTCAGTGTTACACACACAGACCCACTACTACTACTCAGTGTTACACACACAGACCCACTACTACTGCTCAGTGTTACACACAGAGACCCACTACTACTACTCAGTGTTACACACACAGACCCGCTTCTACTACTCAGTGTTACACACACAGACCCACTACTACTACGACTACTCAGTGTTACACACACAGACCCACTACTACTACTCAGTGTTACACACACAGACCCACTACTACTACGACTACTCAGTGTTACACACACAGACCTACTACTACTACTCAGTGTTATACACACAGACCCACTACTACTACTCAGTGTTACACACACATACCCACTACTACTACTCAGTGTTACACACACCCACTACTACTACTCAGTGTTACACATACAGACCCACTACTACTACTCAGTGTTACACACACAGACCCACTACTACTGCTCAGTGTTACACACACAGACCCACTACTACTACTCAGTGTTACACACACAGACCCACTACTACTACGACTTCTCAGTGTTACACACACAGACCCACTACTACTACTCAGTGTTATACACACAGACCCACTACTACTACTCACTATTACACACACAGACCCACTACTACTACTCAGTGTTACACACACAGACCCACTACTACTACTCAGTGTTACACACACCCACTACTACTACTCAGTGTTACACATACAGACCCTCTACTACTACTCAGTGTTACACACACAGACCCACTACTACTGCTCAGTGTTACACACACAGACCCACTACTACTACTCAGTGTTACACACACAGACCCACTACTACTACGACTTCTCAGTGTTACACACACAGACCCACTACTACTACTCAGTGTTACACACACAGACCCACTACTACTACTCAGTGTTACACACACAGACCCACTACTACTACTCAGTGTTACGCACACAGACCCACTACTACTACTCAGTGTTACGCACACAGACCCACTACTACTACTCAGTGTTACACACACAGACCCACTACTACTACTGAGTGTTACACACACAGACCCACTACGACTCAGTGTTACACACAGACCCACTACTACTATTCAGTGTTACACACACAGACCCACTACTACTACTACTCAGTGTTACACACACAGACCCACTACTACTCACTGTTACACACACATTTCCACTACTACTACTCAGTGTTACACCCACAGACCCACTACTACGACTACTCAGTGTTACACACACAGACCCACTACTACTACTCAGTGTTACACACACAGACCCACTACTACTACTCAGTGTTACACACACAGACCCACTACTACTACTCAGTGTTACACACACAGACCCACTACGACTCAGTGTTACACACAGACCCACTACTACTACTCAGTGTTACACACACAGACCCACTACTACTACTACTACTCAGTGTTACACACACAGACCCACTACTACTCACTGTTACACACACATTTCCACTACTACTACTCAGTGTTACACACACAGACCCACTACTACGACTACTCAGTGTTACACACACAGACCCACTACTACTACTCAGTGTTACACACACAGACCCACTACTACTACTCAGTGTTACACACACAGACCCACTACTACTGCTCAGTGTTACACACAGAGACCCACTACTACTACTCAGTGTTACACACACAGACCCGCTTCTACTACTCAGTGTTACACACACAGACCCACTACTACTACGACTACTCAGTGTTACACACACAGACCCACTACTACTACTCAGTGTTACACACACAGACCCACTACTACTACTCAGTGTTACACACACAGACCCACTACTACTACGACTACTCAGTGTTACACACACAGACCTACTACTACTACTCAGTGTTATACACACAGACCCACTACTACTACTCAGTGTTACACACACAGACCCACTACTACTACTCAGTGTTACACACACATACCCACTACTACTACTCAGTGTTACACACACCCACTACTACTACTCAGTGTTACACATACAGACCCACTACTACTACTCAGTGTTACACACACAGACCCACTACTACTGCTCAGTGTTACACACACAGACCCACTACTACTACTCAGTGTTACACACACAGACCCACTACTACTACGACTTCTCAGTGTTACACACACAGACCCACTACTACTACGACTTCTCAGTGTTTCACACACAGACCCACTACTACTACTACTGCTCAGTGTTACACACACAGACCCACGACGACTACTTAGTGTTACACACACAGACCCACTACTACTGCTCAGTATTACACACACAGACCCACTACTACTACTCAGTGTTACACACACAGACCCGCTACTACTGCTCAGTGTTACACACACAGACCCACTACTACTACTCAGTGTTACACACACATACCCACTA